AAGTTTAGTATAATTTATTTGTTGAAGTTGAATCATTGAGATTTATTAAATTTGTTGAAATTGGTGTTTTAATAAGGTTAAATAGAATAATATATCCTAATTATTGACAATTCAATTGAGATATGCTTAAATTGATTGAATTGAGGGATTTAGTGCCTTGGAGATCTTGCTTTATAAATCATTATGATGCCAAATTTTTAAATTATAAATTATTTTTTGATATTTAAAATAGGTAATGGTGAACCGTAGTTAGATAGATGTTTGGCAGACAAGTGATGAATATGAGGGGCTAGATCAATTTTTAATATTTACAAAGAACAATGTTCCTAATAGTAAAGGATTGTTCTATTATCTTTATAATCTTGTACCAATGTAGCAAGTGCAAATAACGATAGTGGAATGCAAGTCAAACATGATGATGGAAATGCAATCAATGATTAATAATTTGCAGATGCAACTACAACAAGCACCGAATTATGGTGGTGTTATAGATCCAACGTGTGATCCTAGCCTAGTAGATCAAGGAATGCCACACATACTTTATGTAAAGGATCATGACAAATGAGTAGTTACATATGAAAAGATATATAGCTATGCAATTATAGTCTACTGTCAGTAGATATGACATAACCAAGTAAAGGGGATGGCTGAAAAAGGTTGTGGATGCTAATACTCCTGTGCTATTCCTTACTGAGGAGGTCCAAACAATAGGACAAGCTCAACATAATTTCATTATTTGGTTGGAAAAGCTAGTCCGACAGGTTATTGAAAAGGTATGAAAATGTTATAATTTTTTATATTTTTTAATTAATAACATAGGTATTTCTAATTTTTATTAAATATTAAGTATAGGAACTCCTACAATCAAAAGAATCTTTGGGCCCCAATCCCCAACCGATGCAAGGTGATTTGAAACAGTTGGCTTTGATAGTGGTTAACATGAATGAATTTTCTGATAAAATAAACGTAATCGCAAAAATTGTTGGAAAGCCTATTACCTTTAAAGGAGCCAGAAAAGACATTAATGACCTCATTATTTTTAAGTAGTTGGACTTGGCAATAATTCAAGTTTTTATCATATAAGTATTCATTTTTATTTCAAAATTAATATTTAATATTTTTATTTCATTGCTAATGTATTTCTTATTATCAAAAGTACCTCCACAAGATTTACACTGAATTCAGTGTCGATGATAATTATAGGTTCTTGTCTCCACTTTTAACCTCATGTGGCAAAGTAAATTAAAGAGCTTCTTATATTGAAAAGATAATGTATAAGCAAAAGAACAGGTGCTGGTTTATATCAATTATTAAGAGGTATTAAATTTTAAATTCATCCCTTAATTTATAAAATTTTTTCTTATTGATATGATATTAATATACATTAATATATTGTAATCATCATTGGATGCTTCCCGTCATTTTCCCGTATGAAAATACTATATACTGGTTTTGTTCACTATAAAGGAAAGTAAGCAATGATATGAAGTCTTTGAATCATAAGTTTTTAAATAATTCTATTTTGCATTATTAATAACATATATTTTATATTTTTTAAGTGTATATATTTGTTAAATAGAGCTTTAGTGATATATTGAAAATTAGCAAGAATGGTTGATAATAATAAAAAAAAAGGAAATCAAGTGAGTGCCAATGCAAGTAAGTATTTCTAATTTATTTCTTAATTAGAATGAAGATTATAATATTAGTGTAATAAATTTAATTATTTTTTTCTTTATAATGTTCTCAACAATGAGGAAGTGTTGAGTGTGGTTATTATGTAATGATTTTCATATATGAAATCATCACTCAATATATTATTTACTCATTTGATCTGGTAGTAATTTATTAATAATGATTTATAATTATGAAATTTGTCATATACTTGAATTATTATTCATAAGTATATTGTTATTTAATTTGCAACGCTTTCAAAGTTTAAAGCCATATTCTAAGTAAGAGTTAAGACACATACACAATATATGGTCTAGTTTTTTCTTAAAATTAACAGGATTAGAGTAGAAACTTTCTAGATATTTGTAATGAAAATGTAGATTTTTAGTTTATATGTTTGCACTAGATATATTTGTATTAATCTCAGGAGCTGTTGTTTATATATTAATACAAGTTTTGCAAGCAAGAGATATATATCTATAAGTGATTCTATAAAAAAAATATAGTATTTATGGCCATAATTATAATAATAACTATGGTAAAAGATTCATCTATGGTGACAATTGTGGCGACAACTGTTGCCGTAAATGTATCTCCAAACGCATATTTCACCATAAGTGAGTTTAGACTTGTAGCAAAAGATACTATTTTTAGCAACAGGTGAGCTAGGACCTGTGACGAAAGATGATATTTTTTACCACTAATTGTTGCTATCTTTCACCACAGAAAGATATCATCTTTCACCACAGGTACACACCTGTGATGAAAGATAATATCTTTCGCCACTATATTTTTTTTGCCACAAGTGAGTTAGGACCTATGGCAAAACATAACATCTTTCGCCACAATTTCATTTGACTTGTGGTGAAAAATATTTGTTTACTACCACACAATCTTCTACTATATAGCGTCTTCTATCACCAAAAATATTTTTAACTGTGGCGAAAAATACTTTTTGTACTCTTGCTTGTTTGTGTGATTTTAATTATTCATTCTTGAATTATTTTTCAATTAATTAGGTATTAGTGTTTTGATGAGTTTTGCAGTTATTTCTCCTTTTTAAGCAAGTTTCTTTTATTTGTTCTTATTTAGGTCATAAATATTGTTTCTTTCAAAGATAAATTTACATATCAATAAATGATTTTATTATCTTTTATGACTAACCGATTGAGGGTGTGTTTGGATTTCAATTGATAAAAATTGATTAACAAAATGTGATAATATATTTGGATAATATTTTTTGAAATTTATTTTGATGATTGAAGATATTTGAATAATTTTTTAGAATCAAATATAAAAATGGAGGAAAATAAAAAAATATTCAAATGTTAAGAATTGATTCTTAAATAGATAAAAAAATGGCTTCTTCAAAATGGAGTTTTACAAGTCAAATGAAATTTTGCAAAATTAAAAGTATTTGGATAAGCCTTGAGTCATATTTAATTACTATCGTCCCAATTTCAATAAATGATTTTATTCATTTGCTTATAGGATATGACGATGTGCAGATAAAATTTATTAAAATAGACATAAAATATGTTAAATTAGAAATAATAACTGAATTTCCTGTTTGAAGAACAGGATATGTACGGTAACATTTTGAATAGATGACAGGTTCCATTGGAGTCAGTTTGCAATATTCCTTCCTGGAGGTTGGTGGGATTAACATGAGATAATGAGAAATGATTATAAAACTTAATGCAATTAAATAATTCTAGGAACAGGTACTTATTCTCAAAATGGACAGGTTGGGTCTGTTGATTCATTTGCGTTCACTACTTGTCCAGGGGTTATTCGGGACTCACAGGAATCTTGGAGAGATTCACAAAATTTTCAAGGTATCATCTCAGTTTTGGTGCAGAATTTTTGACAAATCCTTAAAGAACTTGAACTTTGTTGGGAAGAAACTTACTCAGATGTCAATATTCACTGTAACTCTTTAGAAACTATTCATCTTATACAAAGTGAATACATACTAAGTCATCCCCGTCAATCCTATTACAAGGATCAGGAACCTTCTTACATGCGTAATTGACAAGTATTCATAGATCATGTTTTAAAAAAGCAAATTATAGTGTTGATTGATTGGCTCATTAAGCTAATAGGAATAGTTTTAATATTAAAACTTTAATGATCCATTGCTAAGATGTATGAATTTTTTACTTTCAGGTGTCTCCTGATTTGTTTTGTAACTGTATGATTTTAACCGTGGCATTGTCAATTAAAAAAGATAATTAAATTTTTTAGTAACTACTTATTCTAATTATATAAAATATATCAAATCAAACATCCAGCAATTGAATCAATTGATAAGGGTTATTTTGTTAATACTTGATATGGATTAGTCTCTTTTTTCTTTTTTGTCAGAAAAAATATGGATTAGCGTAAACTGTTGTTTCCCTCAATGCGACGGCTCTTGGAAATTGAATACACAAGCAATTTAAAAAAAAAAAACAATCAAATTATATTATAACTTACCATTGAATGCACTATAATATCTCAATGTAACATATAAGCACAATGTTAATTTTTGCAAACAACACATTAAAATGGATAGTATATACTTCCTCCATTCATTAATATAAGGCATTTTTAATCGAATCTCACCTCAATAAAGTAGTCACTTACTTTCAAGTTAACCTTACCTTTTTATATTTACCTTATTAAATACCCTATAATAAATATAAAATTATTATTAATAGGGATACTTTTAAAAAAAAATAATTATATTTTAAAAGATTAAAAATATTTTATATTTTTAATATTTAATTTTTAAAAAAATATTTTATATTTTTAAATAGAGGAAGTATTTATTTTCTAACTTGAATATTAAGAACTTGGAAGCGTGAAAACGGGATGAAATAAGCATTAAGCCACATGGGGAATGTCAACAAAAAGTTGGGGGAAACGATGCAGAATTGCAGATGCACATTTGAGATCATTCACAACTTTAAAAAAAAAAATAGTACGAAATATTACCTCTAGACATATTTACAACAAACAAGTAATGTGTAATATAAAGGGTTAATAAGTATCTTAAATTTTAAATTATTGTGCAAATAATAATTTAGATTTTAAATCTTTAAAATGTGCAAAAATTTTGCCCAACTTCTAAACTATGAGCCCTGAAATCCTACCGTTAAGGTGAAGAAAATGACCATTATTTTTAAAAGTTAATATGAGTGTTACATCAACATATGATTGGTCCTCATAACTATAAAAATAATGGCCATTGTATCATATAAGGGCATTTTCATTTTGTATTTGGAATATTATTGGATCTGTATACAATGAATTTAATCATACTTTGGTTTTTCTAGGAGAAAGATGGCCTAAGCCTACTATATTCAGTTGCCTCTGCTGCCATTTTGGCATCGACTTTGGCAATTCTTGGGCATCTTCTCCTTTGCAGGAGTGGTGGCGTTTTTCTTCCTCAACTTAGGCGACAACAAGGCACTGCTTTGCTTGGATCTATCCATCTCTCGCTCAAAGCAGGTTTTTCCTTCTTTGCTTGGATTGTTCTCCCTTTCACATCTCCTGTTGCAGCCTTGGTTCTTTCATCTTTTTCCATTGCAGTGATTTTTCGGATACTAGATTCCATAATAAATGCTGCAGATGAACCTAAATTTAGAATGGGAGAAATTCTTGCATGGACCTAATGTACCACATTATTTGAACTAATACAATACAATTTAATTAGATAGAGTATGAATAAGGTAGCCGACCCCACCTAGTGGGATAAAGGCTTGTTGTTGTTGTTGTAGAGTATGAATAAGGTGGTACTTTGTCCATGTAAGAATTTTTCTTTAGAGTAGTACTTCTCTCTATAAAAAAATTAGAGTAGTTGATGATTTGTCTAGTTCTGTTTATTATTTTAAATTGATAGAGCTCATCTTTTTTAGAATGAGAGAAATTCTTACATGGACCTAACAGACCACATCATTTGAATTGATACAATTTAATTAGATAGAGCATGAATAAGATGGCACTCTGGTCCATGTAAGAATTTTTCTTTAGAGTGGTACTTCTCTTGATAAAAATACTAGAGGAGTAGATGATTTGTCTAGTTCTGTTGTATTATTTGAAATTAGTTTGTCTTTTTTAGAATGGGGGAAATTCTTGCATGGACCTAATGTACTATGTCATTTGAATTGATACAATTTAATTAGAGCATGAATAAAATGGTACTCGGGTCCATGCAAGAATTTTTCTTTAGAGTGGTAATTCTCTCAATAAAAAAATTAGAGTAGTGGATAATTTGTCTAGTTTTGTTGTATTATTTGACATTGACAAAGCTCGTCCTTTTTTATGTTCACCTTTACATAGAAAACTTAAAATTGACAAAGCTCGTCCTTTTTGTGGTTCACGTTTACATAGAAAACCATGTGGGAATTGGTTTGTTCCTAATCAATTGAGTTCATATTCAGACCATAGAATCAATTGTAACTAAATTCATTAAGTTTAAATATAATCCCATATCAAATTGGAGGATTAAAAAAAATTGAATGTGAGGGCGTGCTTGAATGGTTGAATTTGTAGTCAAGTCACAAGATTCCATATGTTGATAGATTGGCATACTGTGGTCTTCCAGTTGTAAACATTGAAAATTTCCTTATTGTTCTCCAGAAGGGTGTCAAAGAACCAGTTTCTTGTTATGCCCAATCTAAGGACTACAACTCCTATTTATAGATTTAAGTTTGTGATATTTACGATTTGGCCCCTCAACAAATTATAAATATCACTATGGTTTCTACACATTAATTCCATTACATTACACCCTTTAAGCCTTAAAACTTTTTCAAATAATTTTACCATTTACGTTGTAGCCCCATATGTTGAATTTTATTCCAACAATCTCCCATTGTGCCACATGTAAATCTCCACAAAAAATGTGTTCAACCTTATGAGAACTCAATATGCCATTATATATAAGTTATAAACAATTATGTGGTCTTGATTGTATGAATATAGGATCACAGGGGCTTTCATTGTAATTAAACTCAACATGGCTAAACCTAACAATGGTCATGTATACCAATACAATCAATGGCATAAATCAATCATAGTTGTGTAGCATGGAAAATTGTATTACATACAATGTGATCTCTACATGTCTATTTCCGGATAGGTTCTTTTTTAGTAGATAATTACTTTAGCATAATGTGACAGAGTAACTATAATGGCTGAATATTGTATATCTTCATTTTTTATTAGAAAATACCTTAATACTTAAATATCTTGCATTAAACACAAGACAAACTCCTACTAGAATGAAGAATCTCTATGCTTGACAACACCCATATGAGCAATATGCTCATGAAAGACCATGAACATAATCCTTAAGTAGCTATAGGGCTTGTTTGTTTTAGCTTCTTCTTTCTTTTTTAAAGGAAAAAAAAACACTTTTTTATAAAATATAATCACTTTTGTCAAAGTTTAAAGTGTTTGTTTAAGATTTTAAAAATGATCAAATCTTAAAAAAACAAAAATTAGATATCTGCTTATTTGGAGAAGCTAAAATGAGTTGTTTATTGAATAAGCCATGCGGTAGACGAGAGAAAAAAGAATTGGGATGCGGCAATTTTGATGCTAATGGTTTTAAAAGACAAATGTAACCCTCTTTCAATACCCTGCATCTTCCTCTCATTCCCTTCAGCATTTTCCTTCTCTCCAACTGCTAGTGACCTTCTCCCTCTCTAATCTGCTTTGATTATGTTATCTATAATATTCTTCAAATATTTTCTATCATTATTGTATATATATCTCAATCATTATTAGAAGATATTATTTAATATCATTAGTCATTATTGTATGTCTATTTGCTTAGTATATATAATGTATCCTTCAGATCAATATAGATATGACATTTTTTTCAATCCTTCTCTGGTTATCTCTCTCGTCTCTAGTAGCTTTCATGATACGAAAGCTATAAAATATCATTTTTTTCATGATAAATCAGTTTTTAAAAAGTGTTAGCTTTTCTTTGCATTAGTGTTGCCATCTTTAGTCACAGGTTCAGATCCACTTCAAATTTATTTTTGCATATCCATATGGCATTTCTGGTAAATCGACATTTATAGATTCATTAGCTGTTGGATCATGATGAAATTTGATCAGCAAGTATGGTATTTGGAACATCTAATGCGTTATTTTCAATTGTCAAATCGTTGATTTATTGCTTGGTGTGAGAGTTATTTCATTTGCACTACAGTCTCTGGTTTAGGTGTTTTTCATTCTTGATTCTCTTTTGTAAGCTTATTTTTCTTAAAAATGAAACATTCAGAGATTGCTCAATCTATCTTAATTACTTTGAATGGTTGCAATTACCGTCTTGATTGAAAAAATGTAACCTTTCTTCATTTACTTTGGGATCTTCTTCGATTAAACTTGAAACTTTGCTACACAAACTCGTCTCCAATTCCTCTAGCCCATTTGCTGCCTTATCTCCTCTCATTGGTAAATCCACTTGACATTTTGACTCTGCTTGTTGCAATCGTATGATAGGTTAGGAAAATTTCTTCTCCTCTATGACCCTTAACTCTATTACCTCTCCTATACGCATTACTAATAATTTTCTAATGCCTATTAGTCACATTAGTACTGTCTTCTTGCCTTCTCTATTCATTTATGATATATATTTTGTCTCTTGCATTAGCTTTATTGTTGGACAACTTGTTGATATGTATTATGATGTGTTATTTAATAAACATGGATTCGTTGTGATGAATTTTCAGACAAGACAGGTTGCTAGGATCGGGTGTAAAGTTAGTCATATGTTCAAGCTCACCCTAATGCCTTCACCTAAGATCATTGCTCCCACATTGTGTGTTGCCTTTACATCTTCTTTTCTTGATTCTTCTCTCGACTTATAGTATCGTTTTCTTGCTCACCCTTCTTTGAGTAAATTACATCTTCTAATTCCTAGTGGTTTTTTAAATCATATTCATAATCAGTCTTTGCAATGCATTTATTGTCAAATTGCCAAACAACCTGCTTTGTTTTTTATAAAAATGATTCTATTGCTGTTTCTCCATTTGATTTGATTTATTTTGATATTTGAAGTCCTATCCCTACTCCTTCTGTGGGGAGATCTCAATACTTTGTGATTTTTGTTGATGAGTTTTCTTGTTTTACCCGGATTTATATGATTAAACATCAATCTGAATTACCTTAACTCTATCAAATTTGTTACTATGATTCACACTCAGTATTTTAAATTTATCAAAATTTTTTGTTGTGACAATACTTTGGAATAATGTGACTCTAGATTACTCAGCTTTCTTAATTCTCAGGGCATTATTTCTCAGTATTTTTGTCCCTACACTTTTTAACAGAATGGTCATGTTGAGCATAAACATTGTTATATTTTTGATTCTGTTAGAGCTTTGCTCATTTCCTATTCCTATCCTCAATAGTTTTAGGGTGAAGCAACTTTAACCTCTGTCTTTTGCATCAATCAACTTTCTTTTGTCATTGATAACATTTCTCCTTTTGAGCGTCTCTATGATCATTCTCCCAATTATAGACATTTGAAATTCTTTGCTTGTGTCTGTTTTTCTTCTTCTATCTTATGAGATAAACAAATTTCAAGCTCGTTCTTATGTCTGTTGTTTTTTGGGTTATGATTCTAAGCATAAGGGTTACTGTTGTTGGGATCTTCTCTCTCATTGCGTTTGCATTTTCCGGCATGTTGTCTTTGGAGAAAATAATAAGTTTTCATCTCTGACCAATTTCTTGTCATTCAAATCTTCTTGATTTCCTATTTTTTACACATATTTCTGCTAATCTTTTTCTTAGTGATTTAGGTACATAATTTTGACAACTGACGCCGTCCCTACTCCAAATATATCTACTATCACACCTCCTACTCCTCCAACATAAGCCACACCTATTGAGTCCATATTGTCTACAGACTCTCGTTCCATTCATGTGAGAAATCATTCCTCTTAACTTAATGATTACCATTGTTTTTTCACCATTCTCCAATTTCAAAAACCCAAATCTTTTAAAAAAGCCTCTTATAATCCTCTTTGGCAGTAAACTATAAATGATGAATTGCATGCCCTAGGGAAAATGCATACTTGAAATCTTGTTGATTTTTTTCTTGGTAAAACTCTTGTTAAGTATTGATGGATCTAGAAAAACAAGATTCATTTTGATGATTCTTTGAAACAACGTAAGGCCTGCTTAGTGGCTCAAGATTTCACTCAAGAGTATGGTATAAATTATGGAGAGACTTTTGCACTTGTTGCTCATATGACTTCTGTGCGCAGCCTTTTAGCCATTGCTGCTATTAAGGATTGGACTCTTCATTAGATGAATTTAAAAATGCTTTTTTGAATGGCGATTTAGAAGAAGTGTTTATGAAATCTTCACTTGGGTATCAACATTCGAAAGACAAAGTTTGTCATCTCCACCGTGCTCTATATGGGCTTAAACAAGCTCCTCGTGCATGGTTTGCTAAGTTTAATAATATTATGAGTCAATTAGGTTTCACGTGTAGTTCTCATGACTCAGCTCTTTTTGTTCACTTTACTACTCGTGGTATTGTTCTGTTGCTGTTGTATGTTGATGACATGATGATCGCAAATAGTGATGATGTAAGAGTCGAGGAACTTAAAGATATATTTGGGCTAGCAATTTAAAATGAAAGATCTTGGAAGACTGAACTATTTTCTCAGGTTTGAGGTCCATGATGGGAGAGATGGTATTTTCTTTCTCAAGTCAAGTATGACCACTAATTTGATGTCTCGAGCTCACCTTTCTAATAAGAAGGTTGAAAATACTCCTATTGAACCTTATTAAATTATCCTACCCGTTATTGCCAGCTCGTTAGGGGCCTCATCCTTCTTACTGTTACCCATCCTGACATTGCTTATACGGTGCACATTATTAGCCAATTTATGTCAAAGCCTTAAACTACTCATTATATAGCAGTTCTTCAAATCATTTGGTACATCAAATGTACTCTATATTATGAGTTTCATTTTTCCACTAGCTCCTCTCTTACGTTACAGGTTTATTCTAATGTCGATTGGGGTGGTAATCGTGATGAGTGATGATCTACGACTGGTTTGTATATCTTCCTTGCCAATTCCCTTATCTCTTAGAGAAGTAAGAAGCAAGTGTTAGCTTCTTACTCTAGTGCTAAATCAAAATATCGTGCACTAGCAGACACAAAAAAGGATCATTTATTTTGTAGCTATTTAAAAAATTAGAAATTATTTTGCATTTGGTCAAAACTTAAGGATAATTTATTTTGCATTTAAAAAATGATCTCTAAATTATTTAACAATAACTTATTTTTTAGGGTTGAGGTATTTTTTTATTCCTGAACATTTTTTCAAGAAGCGTTGGCTATCTTATATTAATAAATGAGGTAATTTTTTTTCCTAAAGAGTAAAAAAAACATCTTTTGTAAGTTAGTCATTAATTTTGCTATTTTCTACTGATATGATATATGCTTGAGGCCTACATGTGGTGAGAGACAATTTTGATCACATTCTTTGATGCTAATTTGTTTTTAACTTTTTTTTTTAGGAGCACTGGATATCTTAAAGTAATTTTTTAAGAATGTTGGGATCTTAAAATTTTGTTAAAATAAAATTTAATAAATATTATTAAAATATTAAATATTAAATAATTTAAATATTATTATTTATAAATATTCATTTAAAATTTATAAATTATGTTTAAATATTGACTGTTTAAACTAGTTTTTCAAAAATTTATAGATGATTTTTAATATTTTATATATCGATCATACGTATAATATTGATTAAGTCTCTTACAATTTTAAGGTATGTAATTCTTTTTATCTACTAACAGTTTTTTTTAAATATTGTACTATCCAGATTTAATAGTTTGATATTTTGCAACTTTGTATTAAAAATGAAGGGAATGATCCAAATTAATGGTTAAAATTTGAAAATTAATGGAGGAATTTTTTTTCCCTTCATCTTTTCATTATTTTCTTGTGAAGTAGCACTTTTTGTAGCACATTAATGAAATATGATATATCTTCCAAACAATCTTTTTTGCTGGTATGTTAGCCTTGATCTATCACGTTTATGATTTTGCCTCCAACATGCAGTATACAGATAGTATTAAATTTGAGTGATGCAATATTTTAAAGAAATATTGATATTTGATGAAAAAACTTATAGAGAATGACATAAAAAATTTAAGAAATTTAATCAATATTAAAAATATAATCAGTATATAAAAAATTATAAATCATTTATAAATTCCTGAAAAAGTAGTTTATGCTGATAATATTTTAAAAATAATTTATAAATTTTGAATGAATATTTATAAAAAATAATATTTAAATTGTTAAATATTAAAATATTTAGTATTTTCATAGTATTTATTAAATTTTATTTTGACTTGAAGATGTCCAGTATTTTTAAAAAGATTTTAGGGTGTCCAATGTTCATGAAAAAAGAAACAAACTGGTACTAAAGAACATGGTTAGGATTTTATCTGTCACTCTACATGTGAATCACATGCACATGCCATGCCAACCAAAAAATATTAGCTGTATGGTTAGAGTTCTACTATATATGAGTATAATATCCTTCATTCTTTTCAATTAGCATATGAATTGTATGGATGCTTTCCAATCCAAATCTCTGCCTGGCATATCAAGAATGTACACAAATCCGAATGCGTATGTCAAAGTATTAATTAGACTTCCAATAACTGATACATAGGAAATCTCTTGCTTTTCCTTAATTTCAAGGTTGTAATTTCAAAAGCATTGAGTGATGCTTAAACTTGATGCACTTTAAAGTAGGAGCATAACCTATTTGGAGTATTGTATGTTAAAGCTTTTAAGCATTTTATTTGTAGAGTCGATAATTCAGAAAGGATGAGCTTATTCGGGTCGGGTTTAATTTAAGTTGGGCTTATTTAAATTGAGTTTAAATTATTGTGTGCTATTAAAAAAAATTCATATAGTTAAGTCAGATTTTAATTTTTTTTCAATCGGGTTTGGACTAGTCCACAAGACTTGGCCAAAATTATAGACTTTACATACATATAAAGCTATAAAAATTTCAATAATTGAACTTATTTGAATCAAGTTTAAAATATTATATTCTCTTTAAAAAAAATATTTAGCTAAATTCGATCCTAACTTTTTTCTAGTAGATTCGAACTAGCTCATCAGACTTAGTTTGAATTATTGGCTCTATTTATTTAATATAACATTATTATAAGTGGCAAGTAATATACCATCACATGATCATGAATGTAAACTTACTCCTAATGAACTCATGATACACACAATTTTCAGCATTTATTTCAAAACCAAACGAGAGTTGCTTTAAGAAAATTGTGCTACATCTACTGCAGTCATATCCCTTTTCTCCATCATATTCCTGAAAGGACATAATATAGTTACTCATGTATACAACATTGGTTATTGAGTTGGTTGAGTTTGTTCTAAAGAGACAAGAATGTCATACTCTAAGTGGGGTTACACTATTTCTCCCCTCAAACTCTATTCTCAAAATAACCATATATTTTCCCGTTTCAAATGTAAACTTTATTATGGGATTTTTAAACTTGTATCCCGCGTACTGTTTGAGGCTTGTGCTATTGAGCAATCATAATTCTCAAAGTACTTCTATTCATACGAGAGACTGGCAACTCCAAGAGCAAGTTGCTCAATTCTTGATGCAAGGTCAAGAACTATATAACCCAAGCTATCTAAAAGCTTTTCTTTCTTTTTCTGAATAAAAATGCTTTGAAATTCATAGTTTCTTTCCCCTCCCTCCATCTTTGTGAGCCGGGATCAGGGCTGTGTGAAGGGGTTTTAGGACTTGAGACAAAATTATCTAAGAGGCCTAATATATTAGTATTTATATATCTTCACATCACTTTTTTAGCTTTTTGAACTGCAAAATCAAATATTATTTTTTTATAATCAAGTAATTTTAATAAATAATATAGCTAATTTATTTAATCTATTTTATAACATGGTTGATCTTAAATAAGATTTAAGTAATTTTAATTTAGAAAAAAAAATTTCAACAGTAGCAACTGTTATTGATATTGTCAATAATATTTTATAAGTAAAAAAATTACTAATTATATAAGATATATAATTAACATTAATGCTTAACAAAAATAATAATAATAATAACTAGTTATATGAAGTATGATTAAATTTTTTTTAGGTCTAAACCAGTTGCTTTATTCGCCTAATATAAGCCACAGCCCTAGTCAAAGAACTATTAATATATAGAGGGTGTTCAGAGAAGCAGCTGTGATCAGTTATAGTCTGAGCAAAGAGGGCTAATCTATCAGCACTATACACATTGTCTAAACATAAAATTCAAGGTAACATTCCAGTTTCTATTAATAAGCATTCACACATGTTGAAGTATGTCTCCAAAAAGATGGTCCGCAGAGAAGTCTCTGCTTATCAGCGTAATGGCATGAGCATAGTCATAATTAAACCGCATGTTAAGATACCGATACACATTAACATTAAATCTTTGAATAGTAACATTAACCGCAAGTGATATCTTGTTGCAATGATTAACTACTGACAACAATTACTGCCAAATAATAAATGATCTTTAGATCAAATTATTATTCACATGCATAGCCTTATTGTCACATATTTGTCATCGCATGTGCATGTACAATTTGGTCAGACATCTACCCCTCCTTGGGCCAGTTGTGATATCTGAGCTGACACACCTACAAAAAATATGTATTATTTCTCATGAAAAAATAATTACAAAAGAAGTCACCTTGATGACATTCATGTGTCGATTATCCACTTAAATAATATATTAAAACTTGAAGGGGAATTAAATATTGCTTAATGCAATTATTCGAATCTAATTGCTGATAACAACTTGAAATTTCATCGATAATATATTATACTAAATTACTAATTAATATATGCTTAATCACTTGATAAATGTCAAACCTTTTGAAATTTGAATTTGTGGACCCCGCCATTATTTATTTTCTTTACATCTAGTCTCTCTGGGTATTGACCAAAACGTCCAACGAAATGAGACGAACTCAAGGGATTGTATACGGGAAAAATGATAATAAAATTCTATCAAAATACATAAATAATAAGTAGGTTTTCAAAAATACCATAATTCTTTTAAAATTCTTGAGTATCTTTTTTATATTAATATTTTTAAGTTAAATGATTAAATTGTCTATTATTTAAAATTAAAAAGATAACAGGTTCATATGAGAATTTGTGTTTTTTATTCAGTTTTTATGATTTATAGAATAAAAATTATAATTGCTTAAACAAAAGTTATAACTAATTATTTTTAGAACTTGAACTTTAATAATAGAAAATTTTCACATGAGAAATTATGATTTATTATTTAATTCTTTCGATTCACATAATAAAAGTTGTGAATACTTAAATAAAAATTATGATTGGTTATTTTTAGAACTTAGACTTCAATAACAGAAGAAATTTCAAAGAAAAAATTATGATTTCTTGTTTAATTTTTGTAATTCACAAAATTAAAATTGTGATTGAAATTGATTATTTTTAAAACTTGTTTATTAATTATAAAAGAAATTTTATGTGGAGAGTTGCAATTTCTAATTTAATTTTTGTGATTTATAAAATAAAAATTATAATTACTTAAACAAAAGTTATAAATGAGAAAATGGAGCCAGACTTGTTATTTTTATTTTAAACAATGGGTAATTTAATCATTTAATCTAAAATCATTAATGTCAAAAAGGTACCAAGGGATTTTAGAGGAATTATAGCATTTTAAGAGACCTAATTATCATTTATATATTTCAATAAAATTTTATTATCATTTTTCCTTATATATATATATATATATATATTAGGAAAAGTTAATCATTTAGGCTTTATAATTATAACTCATTGCAATTCGATACCTAAATTTTGACTCATTATAACTTAATTTTTATACTTTTAGTAATTTAAAATATTAGTTCTTAT